ACCAATAAAAAACAGAGGCATATTATGACATAATAGGCACAAAAAATAGCCAAGGCATGGTCAACGTGAACCTTAGCTAGGTGCTCCCTCAAGAGGCAAAAAATGGTCCATTTCAAGGACAACAAGGAGAGGGGGTGGCCCTCTCCTTCTTGGGACCTCAAGGCACCATCTTCACCTCTGAAATCCCTCAAGATTTCAGTGGTGAGGAGGCCCAAACACCAAGGTCTCGGAGCTTACACAAAATAGCACAAAATGGAGCCTCACAAGGCTTAAGAGGGGTCAAACAACCTCAAACAACAAAACACCCTAAATAAACTATTTAGAGGGCCTAAAAACAGAACTGTTTTGTATTATACACTAAGCACAAAAACAGTTCTAAGATAGGTAAAACAAGTATGCAAGAATGGGGAATAAAGGGACTAGTTTCTTACCCTTGAAGACCCCTTCAACAATGGTGGACCAGCAGCTTCTTTTAGGTTGAAACCAGCTTCAAAACCTCAAAAACAACCCTCAAGAGGTCTCAGCTCCAAGGGATGGTGTAATGGTGGGTGCTTGTGAGCAAAAGTAAGACAAAACACACACACTAGGCTCAAGAAAGAGAGAGAGATATAGGATAGATACAAATTCCTAACCCTAATATCAAAACCCTCTGAAATGTTGTCTAACCCTAATGCCAAGAGAGGAGACTCTCTCTTATAGAGCTCTCTCTTGTAAAGCTTGTCAAATAAGCTTGCTTAGAGGGAAATCCCTCCATACACGTGTATGGAGGGGAATAGAGTTAGTGCCAGCTATCACAGTTGGCACAAAATATCTACATAAAGTAGATGAACAGTAGTCGGCTCCTCAAAAATTCCATTTTGACAGAATTGAGTGCCGACCGGCAACAAATAGTGCCGACCGGCAATATATATTGCCGATGGAAACAAAACACCAGCCGGTGGCTTCTGGCCATGGTCGATGATGTGTGGGGATGCCTCACAATGCATTTCCTGCCCCTCCAAAGCAAAACACAAGTGTTTGGTGCAAAACCAAACACTAAAGAGTCAAGTTCGGAGATCCTGAGGCAAGGCGCGTAGCTCTTATAGAAGTCCCTCTTGCAAAGCTTATTTAACAAGCTTGCTTAGAGGGAAATCCCTCCATACACGTGTGTGGAGGGGAACAGAGTTGGTGCCAGCTATCACAGCTGGCACAAAATATCTACATAAAGTAGATGAACAGTAGTCAGCTCCTCAAAAATGCCATTTTGACAGAATTGAGTGCCGACCGGCAACAAATAGTGCCGACCGGCAATATATATTGTCGATGGAAACAAAACACCAGCCGGTGGCTTCTGGCCATGGCCGGTGATGTGTGGGGATGCCTCACAATGCATTTCCTACCCCTCCAAAGAAAAACACAAGTGTTTGGTGCAAAACCAGACATGAAACAGTCGAGTTCGGAGGTCCTAAGGCAAGGCGCGTAGCCAAGACCTCCGGGAACTCCAAACGAACATAAACATGGATGATCACCGGGTGTTCAAACGGTGACGTCCCCAAACGAACATAAACATGGATGATCACCGGGTGTTCAAACGGTGACGTCCAAGTCTTGAGGACGGTCAAAAATGGGGTGTCTACAATAGCTATACAAAACAAGGCTCAAATGATCAAGACAACTCAAAATAGAGCTAAAGTAGGCCAAATTAGTAGCTAAAATATGCTAAGATCAAGTCACAAAAAGGTAGAAAAACATGCTCATATGCTAGGCCATCTACACTTACAAACAAGACACAAGGAGGGGAGGCAACCCTCTCCTATTTTGGACCTCAAAACCAAGTTTCTATCACTGAAATTCCCTAGAATTCAGTGGCTAAAAGGCCAAAAAAAGGTTGTTTTGAAAGCTTGAAAAGTGGCACAACACTTAATCAAATAAACTACAAAAAGGGTGAAGCACCCCTAATTCCAAAACAAACCTCAAACCACTATTTTAAAACATAAAAATAGAGATTTCAGATGTCAAAACCAGCCTCAAAATAGCATGCAAAGAGGGCCAAACAAGTATTTAAATTAAGCTAAAATACAAGAAGTTCTACCTCTTTCAAGAGAATATGCTATATGGGCAACAAAGGCAAGCCAAACCAAGCTAAATCCCTCTTTTAGAGCTCAAATAGGACCTCAAGCAACCTCAACACAAAGATGATCAAGTTTGATCAAAGGCTCACAAGCAAAAGCGTAGAGAATTCAAGCTTTAAGGCAAAATATTTAGAGAGAGAGGATTCTAGAGAGAGAGAGGGAGAAATTTTTGTCTTCAAAATTTCTAACCCCTTGCATGCAAGAGGAAGACTTCTATATATAGAAGATACAAAATCCTCTCAAAAAGATCCAACCATCCACGTGCAAACAGATACTCCAACCTGTGCAAACAGCTGGCACAAAATATCACAAAATATCTACTGATGCACTGGTGGCCGGCCAGCCATCAGTGATGGCCAGCAGGCCAAAGTCCATGGCCGGCAGTGCCCAAAAGTGGCCAGCAGTGCTCCAAAAGCAACATACTAAAAGCACCAAAACATGGTCCCAAAAATGAGATATAACTGATACAGGGTTTGGAAAGCTCAAACCTGTGGCCCTCCGCCGCGGAGTTCGAGAACTCGACAAGCAATCAAACTTGTCACTGGATGCACCTGCAAGAACATCCAAGTCTTGAGGACAGTCAAAATGGGGTGTCTACAGTAGATCTCACTGACTCGATGCTCAATTTGATCAATGCGATTGCTTGTAACCTCATGACGTCTTTTAGTGTCCACACGAAACTCACCAAATTGTTGAATTAATGAGTTTTGAGCGGTGGCAAATGTGTTGAACTAATTAGCCATGTATTATTCCCATTAAACATGCTAATTGTATCGTTCTTGTTCCGTAGTCAAAAAATCAGTGCAATATTGAGGTTGTTGACCTGGTGGCATGGTATTGTCATGGGGGTCTTCGGGAGCATCATCTATTGGTGCATTTGGAGAATTCAAACTTTGCAATAAATTTTCAGTGCCACCAACTCAAGTGAGTGTGTACTCCAAAATCGCTAAAGAGATTTTACTCTCTGCTTCACTTACAAGTCGGGTCTTGAAAGCTTTGAAAATTTTAGTCAGCAGAGCTCCAAAACCTAGTGATCGATCAGTGATATGACCAACGTTTGCAACCACCATTTCTTTCATGAGCATATAGCATAAATCCAATTTGTGTCCAACTTCAAAACAATATAGTAAATAAGCATTAAAAATTGGAACATCATCAAAATGTCTTCTTTTGGAAGTGATTTTTTCTATTATAAATCGATGGAGAATATGAAGGTGGGGGTTCAAATGTCTTGCTTGTAAATTACTTATGGTAAATCTACTCTCACAAATAGTAGTATATACTTCACTTATGTTGCCAACTATATCAAGCATGTCAGACTCACTGTGAAAATAGATTTGCATATCCCCTTGCTCAACTCCAATAATTCGTGCCAAAGTAGGGATGTCAAATTCAATAGATTTACCTTTACATAAGATATAATACTAATGTCTCCATCTTGTTCATCAGTACATTTCAAGTGAACATAAAATAGTGACACAAGACAAGGATATACCTTTTGTGGTAAATTTATTAAATTTAGCCACCCCATAGTCTCAAGTTTGGTAACCAACAGAGGATCATATTGAGGAGGGAGATTTAGCCTTCTTTCGATGACAATAGGTCAGCTACAAAAAGATTGAAAGGCTTGTTCATGATTATAAGTGAGAAAATTAGTAGTTGGATAAATTGAAATTTGAGGCTGTTGTTGGCGTGGTGGAGGATTTAAGGTCTATCCAGGTTCTAGTCTTGCTATTTTGGTTCTAGGCATGACTTTTAAATATATGTTGAATTTGATTGGGAGAGCTAAATGTGAATAGTGGATTTGAGAGGTGGTAAATTTCAATGTGAGGTGACCAAATAGTGTGAAAAGGAAGTGCAACAGAACAAGGATGAGAAAACCGTAGCCTGAACCACTTGGAGCTCAATTGGAATTCACAAACCGGGCAGGTTGACCGGTCGGTTGACCCCCAGTTGACCGGTTTTGTGAAGAAAAGAATTCTTGTGTTTTCGAATTTTGCTTTTGAAAATGATGCACACTTCCTTCAACTCTTTATAAAATACACAGATATGAGCTTTGTGAATATAGAGTCCATTTTACATGCACACTTTAAATGAGGTAGGCAGTGGAGGGAAGTAATGAGGTGGTTCAATTTGTTTAATGAAGCAGATGGATGGTTTTATGTGTAAATGATGCATTCATGAAGATGGTGAAGTCTGCAGGCTTTGAAAAGTCATGGAAAATAAATATTCACACTTGGATGCCTCACAAAAGTCCAGGACTTTGATGAAATTTATTTTTAAAAAAAAATTCCCATCAATTATAATTGGGTCAAAAGTTGTTCTTAATTAATATGGAGCATTTTAGATGCTACTGTCAAATTATTTGATAGTAGTAATCTCCATGTGGCTATCAACCAATTTGCCAAACTGAAAAAAAGGTACCATGAAGTAAATCAAAGTGAGAACAAATTTGAGTTTGCTTGCCATTTCAACAGATTACTCAAATGATATTAATAGTAAATTGGATTCCATGGCATCAGTAAATTTAATATTAATAGTACATTTCAAATTTCAATTAGAACATCAGTAATAGTAACAGTGCATTTCAAATTTCAATTAGAACATCAGTAAATTATCACATTAGTACATTGAAAATTAACACTAAATCGGATATTGACAAAATTAATGGACCAATAATACTAGCAAAAACAAATGTGTACAGGTTGAAGAGCACCAACAACAAACACTGACAGCATTTGAGTAACAACACAAATGAAGTCTGTACAGGTTTAAGAGCAGCAACAAACACTGACAGCCATCCTTGCGTAATCACCTCCCAATCAAAAAAGCCAACCAAAAGTTCATCCTCTCATCCACTTGGTGAAGTTAGTTTTCACCATAAAGATGTCACATATGTTCTATTAAATCATTGTAGAGGGCATGATGTGCATTCTTATCTCTAATACCTAAATGATGGGGCATAAATGATTCAAAGTCATTGTTACTAGTACACGAAACTACTACTGGTGAGTTGGTTGATGATGTTTCATAATCAAAATCAAGATGCTCATCTCTCTTATCTTCAACAATCATATTGTGCAATATAACGCAACTCTTTCTTATGTTACCACGCATTTTGGGATCCCAAAAACGTTCTGGACCACCTACAATTGCAAATTGGGATTGGACCACTTCGAATGCCCGCTCTACATCCTTTCTTGCTGACTCTTGCATCATTACAAAATGTTGCTTCTTTACTCCTTGGAGAGATGAGATTGTCTGAACCAGTGTTGCCCATTGAGAGTATATACCATCAGCAAGGTAATAACCCATATTATAAGTGTGTCCATTAATAGTGTAATGGACAGGCAGAGCTTTACCTTGGGAACGATCAGAAAATAAGGGCGACCAATCCAAGACAGTCAAGTTATTGTGTGATCCATGCATGCCAAATCCATAAGTCATAAGAAGCTACTGCTTCAAGAATGATGGTTGGCTTTTTCTGATAGCCTACATTTGACCTTGCCATGTCGTTGGACAATTTTTCCACTCCCAAAGCATGCAATCTAAACTTCCCAACATACCCAGAAACCCACGAACCTCCCTAATAGCAAGTAATCTAGCAATATCAGTTGTTGTTGGAGATCTACAATATTTTGGTCCAAAGATTTTGATTATTGAATTGCAAAAGTATTTCAAACTTTCAATTTCCGTGCTTTTCCTAATTTGCACATAATCATCAACTGCATCTGCTACCACTCTATATGAGAGCATTCTAATTGTTGAAGTCATCTTTTGCAGCAAAGACAATCTGAGAATATGAGCTGTATCTTTTTTTTTTATACAAAATATGGATCGTGTGCTTCAATGGCATTCAAAATTTGCAGATACAGATGATGACGCATTCTAAAACATCTCTAAAATGTTACAGGTGAATAAAATGGATTTGGCACAAAATAATCTGCAAACAATCGATCATGATCCTTCCTTCTATCGCAACGTATGTATTTATGTCCTACAACAAAACCACCTCTTCTCTTTGTTTGATCACTTGCTCTCAAAATTTGTATCATACTGGCATTATTTATCTCATAAAGACCCAGAAGTGCAACAATTTTTTCATCATCAGAGGATGAAGAAGAAGAAGATGATGAAAAATCAGTGAACAGATAAGAAGTTGAGCTAGTCATTATGCTCTGTTTTTTAGTTATGGTTGGTTCTAGATACAACGTTGTTTGCTTGGTTTATATAGTACATGGTTTAATCTGTTTATATCTATTTTTTGAGGGAAATAATTAATGGAGGCAAAAAGAAATGGAAAAGATTTAATTGAGGGAAAAAGAAATGGCAAAGGAATTGAGGGAAACAAAAATGGAGGGGGAAAAAAATTCATTTGCTCTTACCGGTCGACTAGTCGATCGTCCTCCCAGACAACCTGTGTTTTGTTGACAGCTACAGTAGTTCACTGTTGGAGTGGCTGATATCAGATAGAAGAATTCGTCATATTTTTAGTTAGATTTGATGAAATATTTGGTGAACCATTGGAGATGCCCTTAATCATAGTGAAATTTTGTGCAAGTAATAAGGACCAAATAGTAGGAACAAAAGTAGGATAGCGAGACAGATTAAAATGATTAAAAAGGCAAAATAAAAACTTTGAATAACTCTGGTTAGATCAACCAGCTCAATTCATTTTTGCTGACCAAAATTAAAAAACAAAAATTAACACTTGCAATAGAAAACTACACCCACAAAAAATATACAACAAAACCAGACAAGAGAGCTCATATTATAAATATTTGTATAAATAAACACCCATCGGCACCCAATTGACAAGTTCATAAGCTGATGCACTTACAGCCCATACACAAAAAGAATCTCAAATGGAAACTTTTATTAAGTTACTCTTGATTTAAGGAAGAAACTAAATAATATGAAACTTAATCTCAGTTTTAAGTTGTCTTATTTTTGAAAGGTAGTGGGCCTCTCGAGTCGTTTCGTTGTATATCCTTTGGACATGTGTCTTGACCTTTATTGTATATTCCTTCTTCTTTGGTAATAAGTGCTTACCATAAAATAACAAAAAAATAGAGACGAAAACACAGAGCTAAGTTTTCAATCCTTAAGATACATTGAAAGTTTTCTAGGGAAGGTCCTAACATTTCTGTTGGTCCAGCTCCTATTGTTGCCTCACATTATACCTCTCGGGAATATGTTCAAATGAGAGTGTGTAGGCACATATCCCATCATATCAAAGGTAAGTTTTTCACAAATTTTGAAGTATTCATGTAGTGTAGTTAAAAATTGTGGCATGTGTTTGCTTTTTTAGTAGCACACTGTAGTCTATAACATTTTGGTAAAGTATATTTTATTATGGTTTTTGGTTATGCTTGCTCACATTATATAAATCCCTTTGTTTAGAGGAGGAACACATATGTAATATTTGTCTTAGCTTAAAAGCCTAATTGTTAATTTTCTTTTCCAAAAATTTATTTATGTTGTCCTGATTACATAGTTTATTGATTTGCAATATGGCTTTAACTATCACTTGGAGTTCATTGTTTATTTTCTAGTACTTCTTATGACAGGTATTACAAAAACACAACGATGAAGTCTGGTTCTTGCAATTTTCACACAATGGGAAATACTTAGCCTCGTCATCTAGTGATTGATCAACAGTTATATTGGAGATACCTCTTTGATTGATCTATCTAAAATTATTTGAACATGTCATTACCCCTTCTATTCTTATACGACCCTCGTCCATTTAATGAGGTAAGAGTTACATATTTTTTTACTCCTATGATCGATCACATGCATATGGGTAGATGGTGCATTGTATTTTATTCTTTAATTATTTGTGAATATATGCATAGTATCTCTTTGGATTTTATGGTTGTTGCTTCATTCCCTCATAGTTCATATATGTTCCATTGTCATCTATTCTAGTAAATTACTGCATTAATATTTATTTATAGATTGTTTACCTGAATTCTTTGTGAGGGGAGGGGGGGGATTGTTTTATCTCTTAAAATTTGAAATTAGTAACTCCAATCCAATTATACTCTTTTGTTCTTAACATTCTAATGAACAAATAACTTGTGTGATTCCAACTCCTATATTTGAAATGAGAATTTTGGTTGGCGGTTGAAAGAGGTGATAACATATATTTAATAAAAACATTAACATGTTGCTTCATTTTTTTGTGCATATGCTTTGCTTAGTACCACATTGGTGCTAAATTGGATTTAGTTGGTACCTTTTGCATTCTATTATAATATTTTCTACTGCTTCTTTACTCTTTGAGTAAAACCATAAGATTTTTTGATTCACATATTTTTTTCTCTAGTAAATAAGAAAATGATTCCAATTGAAAATTATGGAGTAAAGTGTATGTCGATGGGGTTTCTTTATTGTATGGAGAGGGCCAATTGTATGTCCATGCCTTATTTTAATGTTGGAGTTTCATCTTTGTTTTCCTTTTCTCATTTATTTCTTATCTTTCTTATTTTAATGTGAGTGCAAGTATTTGTGTTTCAAATTGGTGACTCCTTTGGAAGGATTCGGTGGTGGCTAACCATGTTAAGCAAATTCTACTATTAATTGTTGTTGTTTTAACCAAAATACTTTCTTTTCTTTTTTTCTTTTCTTTTTTTTTTTGAAGGGGGGGAGAGGGTTGAAGGGGGGGTGTGCTTGTAGGTGATGAAAGCCCTTGAATAGATGTCTAAGGGAGTTGACTAGGGAAAACTTCATATTCTTGTGGTGGATATGCCCCTAGGATTGGTGATGCTCAGATATCTATTTCTCAGAGGCTGCAACTATTAGGTAGATGAAAGTATACATGAACAAAGTTTCAGAGGTTTTGATGCTTTCAACTTGAGGATCAGCAGTTATCAAGGCTCAAGCAAATTGCCATAAAACACACTATGGCTTGAAGTATTGCTTCAGGTCAATCCTTTTTTAACTGAATTTCATATAATTCTTATTTTTGAGGGGTCTGTTTTGACAAAAGCTTAGTTATGAAATTTTATATGCCTTTGATTCAGACATAAAGACCATGGCGAGTCGTCGGGTTGACCAATTCGATGATCACATGGAAGAAGAAGCATAGGTAGAAGAAGAAGAAGAAGAAGAAGAAGAAGAAGAAGAAGAAGAAGAATTAGAGGGGGATTTGGCAGAGTTTGTTGATGGGGAATACTACTATGGTGGAGGTGATGGTGAAGAAATGGGCTTTGATGATTATAAAATGGTTTGTTTTCTTTAATGCTTATTAAATTGACTGAGATAGCATAATGTTGTCCATCTATTCCCTACATTTTATGAAAAATGATCACTAATTTTAGATATTCAAGGTATTCCTTCCTATAGATTGAATATGACGAGGGAAACCTGTAGATTGACGAGCTAGAATAGTATAGGACTTACGAGAACAACCCTTTATCAGGTGAAGTAGTAACTAAGTTTGCTTATTTTTACTTATTTTTCTGTCTTCAGAATTAATGAATTGGAAATTATCATTATTCGAAGGAAGGAGAGAGAATGGTTCCAAAATGAAAGAAAAAAGAAGAATAAATGTTTTATCATCCTCAAGTGGTGAAATCTGTATATTTTCTTCATTCTTCTTGCTATATAAATATCTAGGGGCGCTCGCGGTTCGGTTTTGGACGGTTCGGTTTGCGGTTTGGATTCGTTTGCATATGTGTAGTTTGGGAAAAATTGAACTCGCAACTGCCGGCAGTGCGGGTTGCGGTTTGTGTGGATAGGGTTCATGGATGTGCGGGTGGCTACGGGTGGTTTGTGGATTGGACTTTTTTCTTTAAAGGGCTTGGTTGTGGATATGAAGCTAAGGAACATTTATATCCTTTTAATCAACAAATCATTACATTACTTATTATGGGTTTTTGGTTTAGCTTACATTGCTGGAAAATCTACTTTTAGCGGCGTTTAACATCACTAATTCTTTTTGTGACATTTAATAACAAACGTCGACAATGCGGCCGTCGCTATAGCTTTATGACGTTTAGAAAACGTCATTATATTACTATAAAAATGCTGCCAAATGTCCCACTAATGATACTATGATGTCACTATGATTTTAGTGACGTTTTCAAAACGCCATCATATCTTTTTTCAAAAAACTTACCGTTAGCTTTAGAGTTTAGGTGGTGTTTTCAAAAATGCCATGATATCCTCTCTTCTTTTTTTATTTATTTTAAATATGAAAAAGGACCAATTAATGTAGTAATAAATAAGAGGGTAGCCTAAATAATAATAGATATATACAGTTTTAGATAGGAATGGCAACTGGCCAGGGCAGGACCAAGGACCACACTCCCCGTCCCCGATCCCCAATTGTGAAAATCTCCCAATCCCCAGCCCTGATCCCCGACAGGAAACCTATCATCGTCCTCGTCCCCGCCCCCTAACAGGGATCGGGTTTCCCCGACCCTGAAAATTTCCCAAACCAAATCTGTTTCAACAACACCATGAACAACAACAACATCATCATCATCCCCAATTGTTTCATTTTCAACATCAACATCAACAAAATCATCAACCAATCCACTACCCCCAAAAAAAAATGGACAGAACACACACATACATGTATAAATACACACACAAACAGTACAAAACTAAGGACGGAGGCAACAGAGGCGATGGACGACGACGGAGGCATGGATGACTGCGATGATGACGGAGAAGGACAACGGAGGCGCTGAGGCGATGGACGGAGGCTATGACTGCGACGACGGAGACGATGGATGACGAAGGAGGACGATCAGCGTCACGGACAGTGGCAGCGATAGGCTGAGGAGGAGAGCAGCTTGCAAGAGTGAGAGAGTAAAGGGAAGAAAGAGAGAGAGAGAGAGAGAGAGAGAGAGAGAGAGATCACAAAGGAAGAGAAAAGTGAGGCGGTGGTTTGCTAATTGGTTTATATATATATATATATAGGGGTAAAATAGTAAATTCACTTCAGGGACAGACAGGGACGGGGACGGGGACGGGGACGGACCGAGTACGGGGTTGGGACACTTATCTCCGTCCCCGGCCCGAAAGTGATTGGGGATTGATTTTTAAATACCATCCCCGTCCTGTTGGGGATATTTTTCGGGAAAAACTCGCTCAAATCGGAGTCGGGGAGTCGGGGAGTCGGGTCCCCGTTGGGCCGGGTTCAAATTGCCATCCCTAGTTTCAGAAACACATAAACAAAGAAACACATAAACAAAGAAATTTAAGCTCAAAGCATTAATCTTTACATGCTTACAAACTCCAAAGGCCTGTTACATAAAGATTTAAAAAACAAAAAACAAAAAGTTAGGTCAAGAGGGTGTCATCAGAGAGTAAAATCCATTTTTTTGGTGTAGCCAATTTTGGGTCGGGTAGTTATCTATAGTGGGAATCCCGATGACGCTGCAGCAGTTGCAAACAGTTGCGGAGGATTGATGAATGGCCTTTGCTGATTGTAGCTCATTGACAGGGAGAGGTGATTGCCTCCAGTGGTGGCTCTAATTTGACCTCCATTGCTGCTGCTGCTAGGATACTAAACCTATAACCACACGATTAAAACAATTTATTAGCCAGTCTAATTAATTAACCCAGTTATACATAACTCATGAAATGGGTTTCAATATAGACTTGATAGTTTGATGAGGGTGAAAACATGTGATGCATTGAGTTTTCACTCTCATTGACGAATTGCCAGGGTCTCAGTGAACATTGAATGTGGGTTTGGCTCAGAAGTTGCACTGTTTCAGTCTCATTGTACCCTTCTCTTCTGTAGGAATTAATTCTATATGGTTCTTGTTGAATATTGAGCTGGGTTCACATTAATATAAGTTATGGAAATTATTAATAATATTAGAATAAATAGTTCAATTAAAGAAATTTTTAATATTATTGAGCTGGATAAATAATAGCTTCTTTTAAGAATTTAGTCCATGTAGAATGACCTAGAAGCCACTTTCACAACTCCATCGTACCGGTTTTTCTACATACTCAAAGCCTATTTTGAAGCTAGAATTATCAGAGCCGCCATTACAGTATCTTTAGTACGACAATAGTATCTATACCAGATCCCAACAAATTAAGTTGAAATTTTAACAACTAAACACAAAAATTCACAATTTCGATTTTAGTAAACAAACCACAAACAAGTGCAAAGAGCAAGAGACATTTCAAGGACGCAAAAACAATCGATTTCAAGCGAGTAAAGATGTGAAGTGAAGAACAGAACTAACCTTTTCTTGCTGGAGACCGTTCATCGGAATTAAGCTGTGAAGTTAAAGCTGCTAGAATACCATACTGGAATTGGAAAGTAATTTCACAGCTCAATAGAAGTTAACAACTATCATAAAACCATAAATGTAATTTCATACTTATCGTAAAACTCAATTAACTTGTTGTAAAACTCTTCAAAACTATATTTTGAAAACACTATTTCAAAATACGCTTTCCTAATTTCCTTAATTTATTTATTTTTTATTTTATTTATGTTTTTATTCCAAGGTTGGTTTCATAGCAAATATCTCCTTCTTCGACTCATCAAAACAATTATCTACTAACCGCTCAAGGATAGATTTTCCTTCCTTGTACTTTTGGCTCTTTTCATGGGCAGTCTCCTGAAAATAAAAACGTAAAGTAATTAAACACCACAGTCAAGTCAACTAAACATGTGTAAATCATAATCTTAAGAACTCTGCCTCATGCTCTTACATATTTCCATCCCAAAATTGATCCACACCCAACGTAAAAAATGTCAGCAACAGTGTGCAATCCGGTCATCAAAATTCTTTCTTCTCCCTCTCCAGCAGTGACATTCACTCTGTCAGATATAAAGAAGCAAGACAAAACATAAGAACAATGAAATGTCAATGTACAACATCGACTTAAAATGTTACAAAGAGCATATAATTTAGCATGCCAATCCATTACATCCTCAATTCTCCAATTTCTAGTATTGTTTGCTGAATTCTGATAATCTCACAGTTCCATAATCATATTTTTTCTCACATTTGAACATGAAAGAAGTGAAGAATAAGATTGAGAAACTAATTCTTTAAGGCAATCAAATACTTATCTTCGATTGGAAGTGTAGACTCATTCACATTCTTTGTATGAGTGTTCTTGGAGATGCAAGATTAAGGAAGATCAAATTATATTACAAAATTATCTATTAATTTGGGAGGCAACAAGAGAATCACATCAATTTTATTATTTTAGACAGCCCTAATACAAACGAGCACAGGTAATAACATGAAATAATGAGGCAAAACAAAAACCAATAGCATGTAAATTATTTGTAAAGTTGAGTGACTTACAGTGACTTCTGCACGAACAACAAATTTGTGTGGAACATTATTCACACCAAGCGAGATTTGAAATTTTTTAATACTATACATCAAAGTCTTAATGGACGAATTAAATACGCCAAGAGAAAGAATGCACGTGGCAGTTCTAGAGATAAACTACTTTTTCATGACCCCTACAGGTAAAGTACTGATACATTACAACTACTTAAATAAAAAGAGTCAAAAGGCAAGTAATAACACACTTTCTTGCATAAAGCTCACACAAGCTTTTGATAACCAGCACAATAAAATGAGATCTCAGATGGTTATAAACAAAAATTCAATCTAACCTCGGATAGTAATCTGCTGCCAATTTTTCCAATTTTGGTTTTAAATATACACATTTCCTGCACCAGCTTGCCATCCTACAAATCCAAGTAAATTCACATGACAACCCAACTCAATTTAATATAAGAGGAATCATAATTCTACGAATAAAAAGCAAGGGAAAAAATTCCACAAAAAAATAAATAGTAAAAAAACAAAACAAAAACAGAAAAAAACTGTCATCACATCATAACATGACCTTTCCACCAACAATCAATGGAACTTTTGTCTCAAAAGTTTTTACTGACCATACTTGTTATTCCTAGTTGACAATCAATAGAACTTTTGTCTCGTGGCATAACCTATCAATCCTAGTTGTTATTCCATCAAATGTTCATATTTTATCTTTAAACCAATAAAAGAGAAATCCATTGCCAAAAAAAAAAAAAAAAAAAGTGGTAACATGTCAGGTTTCTATTGATATTTCATCAAATTAAGAGGCGGTGCATATGACCATAACATGATACCCAACCTTAAGTACTCAGTAATTGTAATAACTTGATACATGTTATTCCTAAACACCGACACCACTCCCGACATCTCTGTTTCCATTTTTTCAATACAAAAACAATTTGAGAGTCATGGCTATGAATTAATCAAATGAAGAGAAATTGTTACAGTACTAGTTTCATCAATATGTACCAGCTAGTTGGGAAGCTTGGTCCTCTGCCATCTTGGCTGCAAAGACTCTAAAACCATGCCTGTAGCTGCATATATGAGATGCTCTGGTTTGCTCGACACCGTATCACAACATAGTCATCAATAGAACACAATGCGATCAACACAACCAATATTACCCACCAACACCAATTTGTATTTCAACCTTGAAAATTACTAGAATTTGATGTGGATCAGATAAGGGCATATTAAAGTTGGGGTAAGAGTATATCAGCCAATACTGTTCGATATCATCTTATAAATAAATCTAGCATTCAACAAAGCCATTTGAAGATAAAGAAGAAGAATGCAAGAGCAACAAAATTTGAGTGTGAAAACATTGATTTACAATTCAAGAAGGGAAGAAAAGAGCACTAGACTGACCTTCCTTTATGAATAGCAGTAAGCATTTGGTGGTTCTGCAACAAAATTTCATCTGGGTCATGACCTTCTATAGACTACATACACCTGCATATAATTTAAAAGAGATAAAGGAAAGAACTTTAAATTTTCATCAGAGTATCCACCAAGATCATGAAACATCACAACACAGCCCAATTACACACCTTAGAAGAAAAACAGAAACTAACTTCAGCAAGAAAAAGGCAAAGAAATAGATTAACAATACCACTAATATTAGTAGTAGTAGCAGTATTTCTCGATGAAACCATTTCCAAGTCTCAAACTGGTTTCCATAAAGTATTTTAGAAGAAAATTTGTCTATCACTACAACTAGATTTATCAGGTTTTTTTTTTTTTTTTTTTCTTTCTTTCTAAAAACTCCTTCAAAACACTGATTGTAAACCCAAACACAAGACTAAAAATATAGGAAACAAATTATTATTTTTAAATATTCTGGGAATAATTACCAATAAATGTAAAAATGATGACGATCGAGGCCTCAATCAATGCATCGCCAAAGCCCTAATGGGAATCAAGAAGAAGAAGGAGTTATCTCTATATCTCCCTCTCTCTCTCTCTCTCTCTCTCTCTCTCTCTCTCTCTAAAACTCTCAACGTCATCAACTTCAAATGCAAGAAACTCACCGATTTTTTCTAGATCCATTTTCCATCAAAATAAATTTCAGGAAAGAAAACGCATACAGATCTTTCGTAACCATGGGAAACTTCTCAGTACGTTCAATCGAAACGTTGAGTTCTTTCGTTATCTGACCAAACCCGATGGGAAGGAAGAGCTTGAGAGAGAGAGAGAGAATACGAAACTGAAAGAGAGACAGTGGTGCTTACCTTAGTAGACGATGGTGCTCGCTCCCCTCGCTGGTGCAGATGGTAGAGGCGGTGGAGCTTCAAAATCTCGAAATCGAAATCGCCAATCGCTCTGAGATTGGATCTGAGATGAATCACCAATCGCTCTGAGATTAGATCTGAGATATATCACCAATCGCTCTGAGATTGTATCAATTGGGGCTCAAGAAGGTTGATTCGATTAGTGAAGAGAAATTAGGGCTTAGAGAGGGTTAAGAGAGACAAAGAGAGAGAGCGAGACCCAGAGAGTGAGTGAGAGAGTAAGGGAATGTTTTGGGTCCTCAGGCTCAACATAAGGCATTTGAAGAGAGAGAGAGAGAGAGTGCGTGGGAGAGTTAAGACATTCAAAGGCGTTTTTAAACGCCGCCTTCTATCAAAATGGTGCCATTTTATTTTTTAAAAATGTGACGTTTATCAACATCATTAAATATTAAAAAAAAGATGACAATTAAAAAACGCCATTAAATAAACGCCATTAAATCTCACTTTTCTTATAGTGCTATATTCTTTTATGACTGAGTTTGTATTGCTTTTCGTTCTTTGTGTTCACAGGTTGTCATTATAATGCTTCTCTTACATAACTGGCATTCAGGCTATAAAATTATCCTTTTTCAATTATGAATTAAACCTTTTGTTTTTGCTAATGTGACTGGTTCATACCACTGGTTTGTTGAAACACCAAATTAAGTGAATAATCAGTAACACTGTTATTCAAATTCCTATGTTTAGAATAGGCTTGTGATTTTAATGAATATGTGGATCTAGTTTCTAAGAATTTGTAAGTAAGAGGAAGGTCTTCATTTCCTACAAAGTAAAGGTGAGGCCTTGCACCTTAAATTTTACATAGTTGTGTTTAGTGCTTGCGTATGAGCTACTTATATAGACATAAGACATTTGGTGATTGGATCATATAGATTGTCGCCCCAAAAAAAACTGGTTGCTTAAATCCTAGAAGTGGAATACTGTCAATGATGACTATTCTATCACTGAATCATAAAGACGTACACTTCATATGCTCGGAGATATTTTTTAGCCCATTGGCGCACTAAAATGGTCAAACGACGTCGGATGTGAACGTAATTTGACACACATGACTAACTAGGCATAAATGACTTGTAAGAAAAAAACGGGATTGAAAATCGGTTCCCGATTTGAATCTGGAGCCAAATTCCCGTTTGTGAAAACTTGTTCTTTAGAAATTCTTTTTTTAGCTAGTTGTAGACACCTCATTTTTTATCAGTCTTAAGACTTGAGCGCTCTCTCTTGGGTATCCAATGATGAAAATGAGATATGTTAGTCCTATTGAGTCCTTGGCCAAAAGTTTAAGGTTTGAGCTTTTAAACCAACCAAACACCTGTTTTGGCCAAAGTACTTTTCGACTAGTGGAAAAACCTTTTTCAAAATAGATTTAGTTGTGCAGTTTCAAACATTACCAATACATTTTGAGGCTCATCTTTTCAAAATCAAAGTGTTGTATTCTTTTAAACAAACAGAGCAACGGATATAGTGGAAGTAAATGGAAGAGTTGAAATGCTTGTTTCTCCTCTCAGTTCAAGCCTACCTTTGTTGATCCAATGATGTGCTTTCTGGCTAACCGGACAACATTTGATGGCTGGTCAGAATTGCACTCGGCCAATCACCAAATGGAGCAGTGGGCTGAATGTTCCGGGTACAGAGCATTTTCGAGGATTTCAGCTTATTCAACACACTTTATATAAATATCTCAGATATTTACACCCTGGGCTCTAGAGCTCGGTAGCCTCTTTCTAAGGGTTGAAAAAAGTTTTGTCCAAAGCCTAAGCCTTTGGACCTCTCTCTCTCCTTCCTTCATTCCCTACCTACCACTTTCACTTTCAAACATTAAAAAACTCCATTAAAGCTTGATCATAAGCTTTGAACTAAGGGACTTGGACATTGTACAACATATCTAAATGTTCTTGAGGGAACCAAAAGGGAGTTCGTGGAACAAAGGGACTCACCCTCTTTAAGAGGTGAATTTGTGCATCTTTAATCCCTTTTCTCCCACTCTTTCTGCAGTTCTAACCTTATTTTCATCATGTAATTGTTGTAAGCTCTCATGGATGTGGAGGGAATAGGATTTAGCCATACGTCCATTGAGTTGATAGTTTGTTTTGTTTTGGTTTTTTTTTTTTTTTTTTCCTTTCCCTTATTGCTTTATTTAGCCTAGTTTCATTATTGTTATGTATTTGGACCCTTGTGGACGTATTTGAGAGTAGCAATTAGCCATCCATTCACAAGTTTAATATATATTTCGCACTTATTCTTCACCTATCCTATCCCTTAAGCATATTAATCTATGTGTTTCAACCTATGCTCAATGCTAATGAGTAAAAGGGTTGTTCATAAGATTACTTAGGGGATTCTTGGGATTGGATGTTGAAAGAATTCTGTTTTTCCTTCTTGTTGATTATTTTTGGAAGTAAAACAAGAGATTTTGGGTCAAAGAGTGTTGCAACCTCCCTTCTCAATCATTTGTGAACATAGAAAAGGGTGGAGACATCCTTGTTCTACGAAAAGGAAAGGAGTTTTCAATGGCTTTGATGGATCCCTTGTTTTGAAAGCAAAGCTTCCACCAAGAAATGATTTGCATTAATCTACTCTTTCCAATAAATAACATGGATTTGGGTATTAATTTGCTCTTATCCACAAAGAGATGATGTAGGTTCCTATCCATTTCTTGGGCTTGAGATTGTTCTTGTTTTAATCCATTTAATTTGTTGATTTTATAACAAAATATATGTTGTACATATCTGCTCATATCATTATTGAGGGTTGCATCCCATCTACCTCTCCCTTAAATGGATCTTGTGGGTGGTAGAGGTAGAATGGATGAACATCCCTTAGAAAGTGTCCGTAGCTTTTATTCTGGAAAGTTTGCACTAACCCAGATTCTGCTCGGAAGAAGAGTTCAGCCAGTCCTTTTTATGTTCGGTCTCATTGTTGTGCATAGCCAACTAACTTCTCTAAGAACAAAGCAGACAACTATGGGGGGTGGTCTCCTAGGTAGTTCTGGGGCCACTGGCTAGGTTATTCTATTTTATTTAACATGATTTGTTAGATTCAACATTAATTTGGCTGAATCCATTCATTGTTGTAATAATATCTTTAGTCCCCATTCTTTTTCTTTTACCATTTATTAGAGTGTTGTAATAATCTCTCTCTCTCTCTCTCCTCCCTCTCTTCTCTTTCAAATTGTTGTAATAATCTTTCAACCTCAAGACTTTCTAACCCTTTTATTTACATGCTTTTCGTGTATGTCGTATAACATCACGTTTTATTTATCATACCCATGTTGTGCATCTATTTTTTATGCATATGGATTCTATTCATCTGCATTTATGGATTTTATCAATTCAAAAGGTGGTTTTATGCACTATCTTATGTCTTAAAATGATACGCATGCCATGTGGTAGTAACTAAATCCTTAGTTGCATATTGTGGGCGTCTTGCATTAATTAAGCCTTGTTTGTCAACTATACATTTTAGTCAAAAAGTCATTGTAAGTTGTCACATCACTCTCTACTTTTCTGCACATCTTTTTGTAAAAAGCCAAAAATTTATTACAATAGTTTGTTCCCAAATGAGGCCGAAGTATGAGATCTTGCATGTGTATATAACATATTTTTTTGGTTCACATCGGAGTACTAGGTGAGTGTTTATTTTCTTTAGCATGTTGTGCTGTACTTTTTGTTATAATTGGACCCATTATTTTTCTGATGAAAAATCAATGTTCCAATTGTTTCTTAATCCCCAAAACTTAAGCTTATAACTTTTTGCCATGATTTTTCAGGTACCACCAGTCTTTCAGACCAAGTAAGATGAACACTGGTTGATTAGTAGACAATAAAATTTGAAAAAATTTAAGCCAAAAGCCTGTTCGCCCTTCCTATTACCGGATCAAATAGAGAGTTTGTGCAAGCCTAACAAATAGGCAAGCAACTAAGTCACTACAAGTATTGACAAGTGTTTTGATGCAAACACATAGGAGAGGCCATTCTTTAGAGTAGCTTTGCAACAAATAGTCATCAACTCTCTTTTCTTGTGCTTCTTCGTTTAGACAAACCAATCTTAATTATCTGAATTAGAGATTGATGTTTGTATGCTCCTCCACATAATTAATGATAATGGTTCCTTTATGTTGCCTTTCCTGCATCAAGTCAGAAAAATAACGATACAACATTGAAAAACAAAGAAAAAATAATTGTCATGCCTCAAAGCCAACCAAGTTAGGCACCTGACAATGTTGCACACCTATAAGACTAACTACAACATGTGAGCATGCAAAGAAAAGATGTTGAGAAACTCAATTCAATTTCATTCTACAAAATAATCGTGGCAATCAGGAGATGAAATCACAATCAGTAATTCTTTAATTCACAATACCAAAAGTTTCAACAACAATCCACAAATTCAGTTTAGCTAGTTTAATGTTTAGAACATGCCAAACCTAGAGTTCCATAATCTGAATATTTCAAAGATTAATTGCCTCCATCAAAGCAAACAAGAGTTCTATAATTTAAATTAATGTCGCAACAAAACAATTCAAAATAACTTCTACTTGTAGCACTTTATTTCAATAATAACTTCCACCACTTTCACCACACTATTCTTTTGAATCTGTAATCTAAAGGAAGACGATTAGTTTGATAGCTCAATAATTAACTACTACAACAAATAACTGAATCAATTATACAAAAAAAGAATAATTTCAATTAATATAGTTAAACAACATAATTTTTTGTGATTCAGGAGTGTAAAGAAAATGTTATGTACTTCAGTTAATAGTTAACATAAAATCATTCCAATAAGGTGAGTTCCATAATCATACAATTTAAAATTTTGTAGGATTTACAGTTCATTTGGATCAGATAGTTTTTGTGAGAAGAGAAGACTTTATCATTTGTTCAAAGGGTTAAATAGATGAGAAATGGAGACAAAGTGTGAGAAAGGGAAGTCTCTTATTTTGGCTATTTGATTTCTTACCAAAAGTTATGAGATTTGGTGAGAAACAAGATTACTCCTTAAAATAAAAATAAAAAAGAACAAAAAGAAATCTCACTCAAATCCCTCTCTTATGTGAAAACAGACCGTTTCTTTCTTTTTTCAACTAGATGAGAGACAACAATAACTTTCTTTTTCTTTTTTTTTCTTACCCCAAGATCCAAACATAGTGTTTTTGTTCGATATCTCAACAAATTCAGTAATTCAATTCAACCAATCCAAAACTCTATAGGTTTACACAAACTCATGTTTTTGCAAATGCAAGCATAGTAACTAACGAGTGACAAAAGCAAAAACAACATTTAGCTCTATGGTTAAAAAAAAAAAAACGGTTTTTTTTTTTTTTTTTTTTTGTGATTTGGACGAATGGCACGCTGCCACCTCAGTGGGGGTCTGTAGCAAAGTCCTCCCTAAGAGCTTTATCCTTATCCATGCCATAGTCCTTCCTTATTCTAGGACTCTTGTCCCTTACCCGCTTATCTCGGATTCCGATATCTTCGGAGATAACCTCGGCCTAACCGAGATGA